TGGCAATGTAGCCATGTGTCGTCACGAGATTTCTTCCGACAAGAGTGAAACGTAACAGGCATCATCGCAGCGTGGGTGCGCACAAGGGTGGTGGGGGGTTTGAGACTCAGCCAGGGATAACTTGATCGCGTGCTAGCGTCACGGCGAAGCTCAGTCTAGAGGTGTCATGCGCACAGAATGCTTTCGCATCATGTCTCTGTTGGTGTCCGGGGCTCGTATCTCGACCCGTGTCGGCGCCGACGGTCCACGAGAGCGGACAGGCTACGGCTTCTTTCGCGGGGCTAACGGAGGGGCAGGGATCAGCCAGGGATAACTGCAGCGGATGCATGCACGTCATGTAGTGTTGTGTCAGAAGAGGTGTCAAGAGCATTCAGTTCGGCATCACGTCCCGGCCAGTCACGGCAGCAAAGGGGGATGAAAAAGAAGGAAGGAGGAGGGAACGGATGGAGAAGAAGCGCGCCGACGGGATGTCGGGTTGCCGGAGACGCCCTTGTCCACCCAGCAGCGCTGCTGCACCGACGGTCATTTGCACTTGCACCGCGCGCGCAAACCGAAGGAGGACAACACATTACCACAGCAAAAAAAAAATCATTAACATAACGCCTTTGCTCCACAGCCTTGTGTGCACTCTCTGGCTCAACTCCCAAAGGACGTGAGCCACCCCCGCGAAGCCGACTTCAAACTGAAAGGTTCTCTGCATTGATCTTTGGGCTTGGCTGCTGGGGCAGAATAACAAACGAATCCGTCCTCAATGATGAACGGCCTGTGGGCCTGAAGATGCAGTCGCGCATGCCCCATTCCGTTAATTCCCCTACCTTTGTCCAGTTCGTCGAAAATGTGGCAGTGCTCAAACAGCGTTCTGCACACTACTACATGCAGTGCGCGTGTGTGGTTTGAGCAATGTGAAACAACAACATGATAGAGATACTTAAAGCGCTTTGATCCAAGGCTCAACTTCATTTGGGGGTCTCTAAGAACAAAAGAAGAAGAAATACATTTAGAAGTGGTACACATGCAAAAATATATTTTGTCGAGATTCTGCAAAGCGCACTCTGCTTTTAGTGCCGGTAAGTATAAGTTATTCTTTCGCATAACTGGCGCCTCGGCACAAAACAGAGGCGCTGTTGTAAAGAAAACGATATTTCCTCATATTCCTTTTCCCAAGACGAACATTTCGTGTTGCTTCAGAGAAGCCTAGACTCTATTCGTCCTCAAAGTCATCCGAGTACAGCTCCTCTTCTACCGATGTTACGGAGGACGTGGAGAGCCTGCTGGATGAGGTTTCTGTGCTGGCAGAGGAGAGGACGGAACTTGACGTCGTACTCGGAGAGGTGTTGCTCTGCCGGGAACTTGCCACGGATTGCCGCCGTGTGACAGTAAGTGGCATATAGGGTGGTTTCTTGTAAGGTACAGGCGGCGTCTCGTAGGCCCGCACAACTTCCACGCGCACCACCTTCTCGACCGCGTTGCTCTGCCGCGCAAGACGCCGTTCCGCGTCCAGCCGTGCTGCCTCATGTGCGTCCCACGCGTTTTTAAGTAGCTCCACCTGGCGCCGCAGCGAATACAAGTATATAGCCAGCTCTGTCTTGTCCTCTACCGCCTTCTGCTGCTGCTGTGGCTGGTGAAAGTGTTCCACAAGCTGCCGGTTCAAGTCGTCCAGCGCAACAACCTTCAGCGCAGTCCCCTGCAGTTTAGTGTACAACTTCTCCACTGTACTCGAAAGCAGACCCTCCAGCTGATGTAACTGCGTCGGTGTGGCGGAATCTATGTTATCGTTGCGAAGCGGCAACGTGTCATTAGCATCACCATCACCATCATCCGGGTCACCCGCGACATCAGAGAACCCTGGATCCTCCCTAATGATGTTGCACTGCACACCTTCGTCGCTTGGGGCACAAATCTGGGTTGGTGTAGTGATCTCCCCGCGCAATGCAGGGGCTCTATGGCTCCCATGGCTCGAGTGTAACGCGACACTTCGCTCGCTTTGCTGAGAACTCTTCTCATCTTCGGTTGAATCCGCGTCGTCGGTGCTTGGGCGTGCTTCTGTGGCCGCGTCCGCTTCCCAGCTGTCCCACCCAGAAGCAGCCACACACTCTGTGGACACGGGACCGCCATGTCCATCATTTGCGGAAGACAACAGCGGTGGTGGTAGTGGTGACGAAGTGCCGCTCGACACTTCTTCTCTTTCTGCTCCAGTTTCCGAAACTATCGCCTCTTCTCCGTCGTGCGTTGTGCCCACAGCGCCGGTGTTGGATACCGCGTCGTTGCTGCGTCGCACCGGCGGCTGCGGCTTGCCGAGGAGGGTGGAGAACCACGATGCAGTCTGCGGCCCACAGCGGCGCCCCAGGTCGAGTGGCAGATCGTACGGGCACCGCAGCCGCTCACACGCCAGCCGGAACCGCAGGGGGTGCAGGGCGCCACACGCCCCGGCCTCTGTTTCGCGGCGTGCATTAAACATGGTGCTGCCTAACCGCGCCTCTTACAGCGCATGCGCCCCCCAAAAAAAAAACAAAAAAAAAGAATCTCTAGTCAATAAAACGAGAGGACAACAACAAAATCAACGAATGGGAGAAGAGGCCGGGTGGGGCAGACACGCTCGCATACACCAAGTTCGACGCCGCGTAACACTGCAAACAAGGAACAACAAAGAAAAAGAGGTAGCAACACTCTTCCTTTCCTGAGACACACTGTGTGCCCCCCTAAACTGGCTTCCTCGTAGTCAGTGTTCAAACCCTGAGGCTCTGGAACAGGGAGGTTGCTGCGTGCGTTGCACGTTGGCGGCGCAGAACAAGAAATACGTGTAAAAAGTAAAACACACACAGCCCATAGTTGGCGGAATGAACGGGCATCCATGTCATGAATAGCAACCTATAACGCTCCACCAAGTGCATCCAATCACATCTACAAACCTAAGGGCATATGCGTACGTGTAAATTCTCATCCTTCTACAGGCGCATGAGGCCACGATATACCACATCTTCTGGTCGGCCAATCACCACGACAGTCTTCGGCTCCGTTGTGCGACCAGCGTCCGTTAGCGTTACTGCCAATGACCTGTAGGTGTTAGTGGAGGCCATGAATCCAGTCGTCTCTCGGCGCACGTCGCACGTGACGAGTCCCTCCCGCCCATTTGCTGGATTACGCAGGATGAACATCATTTGCATTCGCCTTTCCTTCAGTCCGAGTAGGTCCGAAAGCTCGTAGTTTCCACTGCGAATGCGACGCAGGAGCGGGAGCCGAAAGCCACCGCTATAACAGTACGCCTTGAAGTCCCCTGTGCGTGGGTGGGCGCCGAGGTGCTGCACCACACTCTCATTGCGCATGACAAGCGCAATGGATTGGTTGTACACCGCGTTTGGGTTGATCTTAAACCGCCGAATCACCGCGAGGACGACAGTGTAGAGTACCGCGCTGGAGACAAAGCCGCTCATGAATCCCAAGCGTGCCACTGTCGCGAGACTAAATCGCGAGAGCATGGCGTATCCCTTGATGAACACACCAAATACCAGAATGATGCAAAACACTGCAGCGCCTGCCTTTGAGTAAAACACCACGGCGTCTGCCGATAGGCCGAATATGGTCCCTGTGTAGTGCGTTGACTGCTTGTCAAAGAGCGCCTCCTCCACCTTGACGCGCGGGACTTTGCGCCGCAGGAAGCTAAAGTAGCTGCGCTGCGCCATATTAAAGGTGGATCCGCGATTCAGGACGATGGAAGCGCGACACGGGCGCAGCACCGCGCACTGTGCGGGCGAACAAACGAGGCGCCGCATCAATCCCTCCTATCTTCACTGTATGTGTGTAATTATGTCTGCTACAGGATATCAACCAGTCCCCGCTTCAAAACCACTGAGTGGGACGACAACTGTGCCGCAGACGGAGGTCGCAGATGAGAAGGAAGAGTAGCAGAAGAAAAAGAAGCAGTAGTAGTGGTAGTGGTAGTAGAAGGATATAGGGGGAAGGGCATCGCGGCAGGACGTTTTTTTCGCCGCTCCACAGGCCGTTTTGCTTCACATCATGGGAAATGAAACGGAACAGCTTATATTTTCCTTTTAGAAATATCTTTCCAAAGGAACGGGGAAAGCCTGTTTTGTTCTTCTTCGCAAAGCAACAGAAGCGTACTACCGCTCCTACACCAAGAGATTATAACTTACAGCACCGCATCCTTGACTTTTTCTCTTTTTTCTCGTACGCACACACACACACACAGGTATCCTCGTTCACTCCATTCTCAATTTCCACAACATTCCTCCTCACTGCCGCATTTCCGCGTGGACACATTGGAAGGCACACACAAATGAAGAGATGGCATGGGTGCTCTCGTGTGCACATGCCAGAGTGCCACGCACTCCCGCAAGGAGACACTTCGGTAGAAAGCCTCTCTACAATTAAGAATAACTGGTGGGTCATTAGTGGAATTCGTTGTTGTTGCGGTGGTGACACACACACACACACACAGAAAGAAAGAGAGCGGATGAGTGGGAGACTCACATAAGCACAGACGGATAATGCAAACCGAGACACATGACACCAGCCTACAATGTTTTCCCCAAAACTGCAGCAAGGACAAACAATCCAACAATCGCAGCTACTAAGAGCACAATGCAGCAGAGCTTCCGTCTACTACGCTTCTGAAATTTGCGTGCTTTTTTTAACTCTTTGCGGCCCGCCTCCACATAGCGCGTGGCATTCTCAATGTTCTTCAGAATCACATCCATGATTTCCCCCTGTTCGTGCACGAGGAATGCCAAGTCGTTAAAGAGTTGGTTCAGAGATCGCATCGATTGTTCAATACGATAGATATCATTTCTTGTCTCGATGATCTGCGCCAGAACATCTTTACTCTGCTGAAAGATAGCGCTTGATGTGTTGTTGGCGAGAACCTCCTGAGCCAGTTCCTTCGCTGTTTCATCATCTATGGCAGACCCGTCTGGGTTCGTGTATTTGATCTTGATTTGCCGCTCTGTCTGCGAGCGGTACCGCTGCTCCACTGAACTCTGCTGCCGCTGGTAGGCCTCCATCGCCTCTGTAAGCCGGTGCAGCATGTAGCGCCGCTGGTTCTCCTCGATGCGTATAACGCCTATGAAATGGCTCTCCATCTCCGGCGTCTCCTTGAGTTTCTCCGTTGCTTTCCGCATCGCCTCAATACTCTGCGTCGTGGTCTGCGCGACGTCGTTGATTTGGTTCGCAAGCTCCTCCGCCTCGCGGCGCATCGCGTTGCACTTCACCATGTCCACGGTGCTCATGATCTCCGAGTGCTTCGCCACGATGTCGCGCGTGAGAGACGTGATGCGGTCAATCGCGCCGTTCGCGCTGCTTACTAAATTGTAGAAGTCGTCCAGCAGCCGTGCCGCCTCCACGTCTTGCTCGGCGGGCGGCTCAACAACACCAAGACTCACCGAGCGCGGCGAGTCAGAGCCTGGCTCCGGCACGCCGCCCAGCAGCGACGGGCCGCACGCCGCCAGGAACTGCGCCAGGCGGTCCATCACACAAGGGACAGAAGAGTGCGGATGCCCTGTTCACAGCACCAGCAGCAAGGGGAAGGTTAGGCCCTCGCCCGGGAGTGCGCACGGCTGTGTGTATGTATGTGTGTCTTTCTCTCTCTCTCTCACCGTATGTGTGTGGCTAGCCTCCTCCTTCCTCTCTCAGTTGCGTAGGTGTGTGTATGTATCCCTCTCTCCACTACGTACTGAGTGTGGGGGGACAGCAAAACCGAATGCGAAAAGAAAGAAAAGGGAGAAAGAAAGAGACAACCCCCCCAAGACGAGAGAAAAAAAACAATAACAATACCAAAATGAATTCCACTGTGAGAGCGCTGCACCAAGCCACTCTGCTTGAATGAGGTGACACACAAAAAAAAAAAGAGGACTTACAGCCGCAAGACCAGGCCACCCCCCTGCCTCACTGCGTCGCCGAGAAGGGTTTTCTCCCGCGCGAGTTGGGAGCTGACGTCCTGCAGGACGCTTCCCAGTAGCTGCTGCTGCCGGGTCGAAAGGGCTCGTAGCTGCTCTTCTGCTTCTTCATAAGCCTTCTGGCTTTCATCGAGGGCGCCCGCAACGCGCAACAATTTTGCCCGTCGAAGAAGAATTTTGAACTTGATAGTGTACAACCAGAGCAACTCCTTTTCCGCATCCGATGGGGCGTCCGCCTCGTGACGCACCGCATCACCACACCACCCACAGAGGCGCTGAAGAATACTCAGCACACGAACACACCACCGCGCCACCCGCACCTGTCGTTGTTGCAGCTCCTTCGCTACGTACCCACCGCCCTTGCACGACGCACCCGGCGTGGTAGAGGGCTGCATCAGCAGCAGCGTGTGCGCGGCATTGGCTGCGGCCACCACCACCTGGCGGTGCAGCGCATACCACACGTGGAAGAGTGCGTGCGCGCGTGGAAACACGACACGCCCATTCGCCAGTAGGGGATCGCCGTAGAGACACTCCACCTCTTCGGCTCCTGCTGCGCCTCGCTGGAGACCCAGCAGCAAATTCAGATACCGGTTCGCTGGCGCTATGTCCCGCTCACCGCCAATGAGTGCGGCACATTCGTCGTCCATGTCGTCATCGGCAGCGTTCGCCTCGCGGTCTTCAAGCGACGGCGGCGGCTGCAGGACATGACGGTACGGGTAGCGAAGCCCCGCCTGCGCCAGGCCCAGCGCACGCTGGTAGCAGTCGGCAGCGTCGCGCAGCTGCAGCAGCGGTGGCTGGAGTGATTCACCACCCGCCTCCCGCATCTGCTCCGCAGGTTTGAGGTACGAATGGTAAAGAAAGGCACCTAAGCGGTCCGCATTGTGCTCGTCGTGGAGGCTCTGCCTGACAACATCCAAACGTTTGAACGCGAATGCAAGTCGGCACGTCCTGTGCACATCGGGGCGGTCAATGGTGCCTGATCCGTGGGTTAGGGACGCAGCCTCGAGGTCCTCTATGAGGGGGATCAACGTCGCCGCCATTGGCAGCGAGGCAGTGAAATGCAACGCATCAGAAGCGGTACGAAGAAGAAGATGCTGCAGCAGCTGCGGCGACCAGTGGACCCGTGCCACCTCCGTGTTGTGGGCACGCTTCTCTATCGAAACGTACTGAGCCGCAACGCTACTGCTACCAACATCCTCTTCCTCTGTGACATCTCCAACGCGTGCGTTCGCTTGCCGCTCTGTGTCGTGGAGTTGCTGGAGCACCAGATTTGTCAGCACACGCGCAAGCCCGCGGCGAACCAATGCCCGGAACTCCTTTGACAGTTGCCCACCCAATGGGGCGTGGAAGAGCAGTGATGGCCCCAGTAACCGCTCCACCTCTCCTACCGCCTCACCAAGTGTCACATCCCCCGCCATTGAGAGCTCCTGCTGCCCTGACGGCAGCGGCCACGCAATGGACGTCTTGGCGTTGCGCACAACAAACTCCACAGCTTGCAGCTGCTCACGCACGGGTTTTGCTCCTACGTCTGTGAGGAGCTCCACCTCAGCATCCACCCGCAGGAGTGCCATCTTGTTTGCCTTCCTGCACGAACCCTGAGTAACCCAAAACAGAGAAGATGAAGAGACCATCCACGCAACGCTTGTAATGAAAGAAACCACCACCCAGATATCGATAGCTCACCACACCTGGGTGCAGCGGCAGTATTATTATTATTATCCTTTTTTTGTTTGAGATTATTCCCACACATGTTTGATTGTTGTTTTGCTTATCTATATATAAATATATATCTTTTCCAAAGGAGAAGGCTAGGGAATGCGGTATTCTCATACACTTTGAACTGTGGAATACTGGAAAAAGTCTACACCCGAGTTTCACATACCAAACGTGGAATAAGTTGACATCTCAAAGGCGGTACCAAATCTTCGCAGAGGAATGGCCCGGCGAATGCCAAGCAAGGGAAAAAGGAGGGAGCGCAGATGCACACACACACACACACACATACACAGAGAGAGACAGAAGCACAAATACACACAATCACTCACTCGGAACGCAACAATATAGCTTAAATAAACAAATCGTTTTATTCTTTTTGTGAGAACCTCTCCATAGGAAGGTAAGAATGTGCATGTGTGTCCAACTGTGTGAGTGCATCCAACTGTAGTTAAAAGTGTGAATGTAAGAGGGTGGGTGGTGGAACAGCGCTCTGTGTGCACAAGCAGCATTTGCAAATCATTCAAGCAGGAGTACAGGTGACACGTCATCACCGTCACATGGAGCAGCAACATCCAGATGTGGGCGGCCGGGAGCGTCGGTGCGACTCAATCGTCTTGTGGGCAGCCTTTACTTCATCTTTCGAGGCTGTGCCCGCCATTCGTGCCTCTAGGCGTCGGAGGCTTTCCTGCTGCGTTAGCACAATGCCCTGCAGTTTCTGCAGAAGAACACGCAGCGGCTCCATGTCATCATGTACCTCGTTGCCATCCTTCGCATCGCTGTTGTCATAACTACTGGTGATGCCGCAGATTTTCGACTCCTCCAACGACCAGGAGGCACCGCTGTGGGTGTTGCTGACCGTGTAGAGCCTAGAGGGGAAGGAGGAAGCGTGCTTGAACGGGCATTGTGCACCACCGTCCCGCCGGACCACGTCGTGCCGCAGCCGGTATTGCTGTTTCCACGCCGTGTAGAGCAGCCGTGACAACAGCTCGTGCTGATTCCTGTGGACATGCATGAGATTGGTGCGTGACGCAATGAAGGCAGCGCGTGTGATGGGCATCGCCAGTTTCTCCTCTTCCGTCAGCGCGCCAAAGTAGCGCATCGCCCTCATGGCCTGTAGCGCCGCGGTGAATTCCGCTTCAAAATCCAAGTAGAGCTTCTCTAGTCCCTCACCTTGCGGCTCCTGCTGATGTTGCTCATACCCCTGCTGCTGCTGGGGCCGCGTCATCTCTTGCAACATGTCGCGGAGGCGTGCGGTGATGCCGTTAGCGCGGTGAACGCGCCGCCGCACCTCCGCCGCGTTGCCGACGAGCGCCGCATACGGGTCGTTCGCCGCGCCGTAGTTGCTCTTATCCAAGAGTCGCTGCTGTTTCCTCTCCTGCTCGTTTCCGTTAGACGCATCGGAGTAGCAGCCGAGGGAGGAGTTGCTAGCGCTGCTGGATAGCTTCTTGGTGAACAGCAGCGCGTCGGTGAAGCGCGGTGTGACGCGTCCATACTTCTGCTTCTGCGGCTCCATTGCCTTCGATTGAATGCGCGGGCCACACTTTCTATCTCTACCTATGTATTTACACATGCATGCAGTGATGTGTGTTTTTGTTGTCGCCAACAGCAAAAACAACAGCAAGCAGCGGCGGGGGTGGTGAGACGCAAACGAGGACAAAACGAAAAGAGGCACAAACACCCCCCCCCCAAAAAAANAAAAAAAAAAAGAAAGCCCTTCCACCTTTCTCAACTACACCCACACCCACACACACAGAGCGAGAACGGGACAAAGGTGAGCCCTCAAGCCAACAGGGTTGCCGCATGTGCGGGGTGGCAAGTGACACCGTTTGTTTCCTTTTTTTTTTCATATTTGTTTTTCTTGCATTTCATCATTCCGCTTGTCTCATCTCTGTTGTGCCTGTTAACCGAAGAAGTGGTGGCGCAGTGGCGAGGCTGCCGAGAGAGAGAGACACACACACCAGCAAAGCTGAGCTAACACACAGCCAGAGCGCTCCGACTGCGTTCCACTCCTCTCCCGCATTTATTCTACTCGTCCTGCTGATCACCTCTCGCGCGTTCCTTTTTCGCTCTTCGCGATTCAGCGGCGCCTCTCCCACCCACCACTCATTCTTTCCTCTCATTCTTCCCTCCCTCCCTCAGCTCATTCATGTTGCCTTAAAACTGATCGCTGATGTTTGCCGGTAGCTCCTCGATCTGCGTGGCGTAGAACTGCTCAATGTCGCGCAGCAGCCGCAGTTCGTCGTGCTTCACGAAACTAATCGCCAGCCCCTTGCGGCCCATGCGACCAGTGCGGCCGATGCGGTGGATGTACTGCTCGCGCGAGAAGGGCAAGTCGTAGTTGAGCACGAGCGACACCTGTTCCACGTCGATGCCGCGCGACCACAGGTCGGTGGAGATGAGCACACGACTCTTGCCGTCTCGGAAGTTGCACATAATCTCGTCACGCTCCGCCTGCGGCATGTCGCCGTGCATGGAGCTGACGGAGAACTTCTCCTTCGTCATCTTCTTCGCCAGCTGCTCCACCTTCTTGCGCGTGTTGCAGAAGATGACGGCGTGGGCGATGGTGAGCGTGTCGTACAGGTCGCACAGCGTGTCGAACTTGTTCTTCTCCTCGTCGACGGCGACGAAGTACTGCATGATGGAGTCCACCGTGATCTCGTCGCGCTTCACGAGGATGCGCACCGGCTCCGTCATGAACTTCTCCGTCATGTCGAGCACGTCGACCGGCAGCGTCGCGGACACCAGCACCACCTGCAGCGGCGGGATCATGCGGTAGATGTCGTGGATCTGCGCCTTGAAGCCCTTGCCAAGCATCTCGTCCGCCTCGTCGAGCACGAGCGTCTTGAGGTGGTTCACGCGCAGGTGGCGGCGCTTGATCATGTCGAATACGCGCCCCGGCGTGCCCGACACAATCTGCACGCCGCTCTCAAGGCGGCGGATGTCCTCCTCCATGCTCTTGCCGCCGATCGACGCGTACGCTGCGAGGCCCATGTGGTGGCCGATGTTGTTGCAAAGGTCCTGCGTCTGCAGCGCGAGCTCGCGCGTCGGGCTGAGCACGAGCCCCTGCGTCTCGCGCAGCGCCGGCTGGCACACCTGCAGCAGGCAGATGCAGAAGGCGGACGTCTTGCCGGAGCCGGATGACGCCTGCGCCACGAGGTCGCGCGCCTGCACGAAGGGCGCAATGAAGCGCTTCTGAATGGCGGTGGGCTTCTTGTAGCCGTAGCCGTACATGCCGCGCAGCAGCTCCTCCTTCAACCCCATCGCCTCGAACGTCGAGATGGCAGGGACATTCGCCTGCATGTCGGTCTCCTCCTTCTCCGCCATGCGCTCCACCTCTCCCATTGCTACTGCGTAACGCTGTGTATGAGAATGGGGGAACGGAAACAACAGTGTGGACTCGACAAAATCGGAACCACGCACGCTCTATTATCTATTACCCCTTCCACGTCGCCCTTGCTTCCTTGGGCATGTGAAGCGATGGGAGCACAAAAACAAAACAAAAGTAACAACAACAATAGAAAAAAAAAACGGAACGTAGACAGAAACGGAAAGGACACAACGGGGGGAGGCAAAATAACAACAACAATACAAACAGGAAGAGATGAGAAGAGCACTGCAGTTAATCCACCTCTTCTTCATTCCTCTCTTTCGTCTTTTCACAGCAATGAGAGTGATACAAAAGAACAAAATGACAACCTGGCTCAGCAGCAACACTAGTTGTTCTCCGTGTCTAGAGACTATGATGGTGCACACGAGGAACACACAAGCTGTACGTGCCCGCATACACACATACGCGCTTGTATGTAGGACTAAGCATCATCCGTCTCGGGCGCTGCTGTCGCTTTTTCTGTCGCTGTCTTATTGGCTCGGTGCAGCGCCTCGCGGAGCTCTGCGATAACTGCCGCACTGCGCCTACACGCCCGCTCAAGCGTATCAATCCTCTCCCGAAGCTTTTGCGTTGTGCTGCTGTGCTTCTCCAACATGAGTTTCTCCTGCAGACGCGCTTCGTCAGACTGCTGCTCCAACAGCATGCCTCGCAGCATCTTCTCACGGTCGCGCTCGCACTCGGCAGTGGCAAGTTTCTTGCGCGCGTCCTCCAGCACTACCATCCACTCCCTCAGCTCGCCAAGGAATCCCTCCTTCTCACTGCGCAGCTGCTGCTCAAGGGCGGCGATGCGCTGCTGCGTCTCCCGCTCCCTCGCCGTCCACGTGTCCTCCATCGTGCGCCGCTCCTGCAGCAGCGCCGACCGCGCGTCCGTCAGTGCCGAGTTGGCCTCCTCGAGGCTGCGCACGCGGCCGCCGTGACTCTCTACCTCAGCGCGCAGGGCCTGCTGCTGCTCCTGC